GTTGTTCCTGAACATAATTATTAGGGGATGAAAGGAATTTTCTTTCTGATTAGCACTATTAGAACAATATGTAGAGAGGGGCGCCTGGGTGGCTTAGTCGGTTAAGCATCCGACTTTCGCTTGGGTCATGATCTCGCAGTTCGTGGGTTCGAGCCCCGCGTCGGGCTCTGTGCTGACTGCCAGCTCAGAGCCTGGAGCCTGTTTCAGTCTGTGACTCCCTCTCTCTCTGACCCTCCCCTGCTCACGCTGTCTCTCTCTCTCTCCCTCTCCTAGAAATAAATAAAACATTAAAAAAAATCTTTTAAAAAAAAAGAATAATATGTAGAGAAAGAGTTTTTTAGGAAATCTATTGCAAAAGCCTTAAATAAGGCACAAACATAATTACCCTTCTCCTAATTTCTACAGAGATGAGAAACCAACACAGAAGTTGTGTAGGGGCCGAGTATAGTGGGAAGGTAGCAAATGATAAGTGAGTTGAATTATCATACATGTCTTTCAACCTAAGGCAACCTCCCTGGTCTATAATCTCTCTTGAGAATAACTTTTTTCCTTGGACATAAACAAGGAGAAGTCTGTACAACAACTCATTGCTAAGTTCCTCTCTGATGCTAGCACATGGGAAAAGGGCACTGGATTGGGTCCTTTATCAAATCTGATCCTCCACCTTTCTTGGCTAGAAAGTTGACTTTATGTTACTCCTGGAGAGTGCGTTAAATGGATGAGAAGAGTTTTGTTCTCACGAAAATAAGAGTGTTTTCCACAGTTTTCTTCTATTTGAGTATAATAGGAACTGTGTATCCCAAACATTTTCCTGTGAGAAATAAGCTGATGGAGTCACACGTGCCCATCACCATGGACAGCGAACTCAGATTCACTTATTCTCATTTCCCACCAGGCATAAGCAATCTGCAAGTTCAAGGGGGTTAACGTAGTTCATACTTTACACCCTAACATTTCTAGTTCTTGTTGGGATGCCATGGTCACTCTACTGTCTCTTATTGCCTTTGACTTGTACATTTCTTTATAGCAGGATTCTACGGAAACAGGACTAAAACATTTTTTAATAATTGTGTTTCCCAATGTTTCCTGTGAGATGGGATCAGATTTTATAACCCATTTCACTAATACTAAGGAACATTTAATAACCTCATTTGCACAAATATGGAGAAATGAAAGGAGCCTGAAATTTGGTTCATCTGACTTTCCACTCGTTCTTTGGAGTTTTCCACTGTCTTTCCATATATTTGAGACACGAATTGAGAACCAAAGCATTAATCTTGCTAATATCGAAATGCACATAATTTCTTGTGTACAGCCTATTCTATCTCCTCCCATGCCTTTTGTCGTATTGTCCTTCAGCTTGGAGCTGCCTTATCTTGCCCTGGGTAACGTTCCTCTCTCTTTTAAGATTGGTCCCACAAGATTCTGTCTCCAAAAGCCTTTGCTACCTGCTCCAGTCTCTTTAGATGTTATTGCCTCTAATACCTTAAAATTTGTTCACTGCAATGACCACCTTTCACTAGGTTCTCAGCTTCTAAAGGATAAAGACATAAACTGGTAAATCTAATTAAGGGTAGTGCCTAACCCACAGTAAGCATTTGTTGCACTTAAACTCACAATGGTATTTTAATGCACTTTGGTGGATTAAATTGTCCCAAATTTTTGCAGATTATTCTACAGAGATGCTCAATATTGTATAGGAAGAAATGGGAGAGGAAATGCTAAATGCTAAATTTGTCACCAAAATACATCAGTAGTTAAAAGCATATAGAAATTGAATAACAAAGAAATTAGGCTTTGAGTGATAATTGCTCCAGTTTAGAAATAGCATCAAAACATTTTTTTGAAACCATGCGTAATGTAGATTTAAAAAAATACACATATTAATTTCACCTGCAAGTCTTATAATTAAGTAGCCTTAGTAAATTAAGTAAATCTGGCACATGAAAACTTTGTTAAGTATAGGCAGATTGGGTTTTATTAATCCTTTTAGTTGAGAACTTTGTATATGCTATTTAAAAAAAATTAATGTTTCACCCAGAAAATTAATAGGCAACCAACGGAATGGGAAAAGATAGTTGCAAATGACATATCAGATAAAAGGTTAATATCAAGAATCTATAAGGAACTCACCAAACTACATGCCCGAAAAACAAACAAGCCAGTGAAGAAATGGGCAGAAGATATGAACAGACACTTCTCCAAAGAGGACATCCAGATGGCCAACAGACACATGAAACGATGCTCAGCATCCCTCCTCATCAGGGAAATACAAATCAAAACCACACTGAGATACCACCTCACGCCAGTCAGAGTGGCTAAAATGAGCCAATCAGAGAACTCTAGATGCTGGCGAGGATGTGGAGAAACGGGAACCCTCCTACACTGTTGGTGGGAATGTAAACTGGTACAGCCCCTCTGGAAAACAGTGTGGAGGTTCCTCAGGAAACTCACAATAGAACTCCCCTATGACCCAGCAATAGCACTGCTAGGAATTTACCCAAGGGATACAGAAATGCTGAGGCATAGGAGCACATGTACCCCAATGTTCATAGCAGCACTCTCCACAATAGCTAAAACATGGAAAGAGCCTAAGTGTCCATCAACAGATGAATGGATCAAGAAGATGTGGTTTATCTATACCATGGAATACTCCATGGCAATGAGAAAGAATGAAATCTGGCCATGTGTAGCCACATGGATGGACCTTGAGGGTGTTATGCTGAGCGAAATAAGTCAGGCAGAGAAGGACAAATATCATATGTGTGCACGTATAGGAGGACTAGGAGGAACTTAACAGAGGACCAACCGGGAGAAGAAGGGGGGAAATGGTGAGGGAAAGGGAGAGAGGCAAACCATGAGAGACTCTTGAATGCTGACAAAAACTGAGGACTGATGGATGTGGGGGGGAGGAGGGATGGGCATGGAGGAGGGCACTTGTGGGGATGAGCACTGGGTGTTATGTGGAAACTAATTTGACAATAAACTATTTGTAAAAAAAAAAATTAATGTTTCTTTACTTTTGAGAGAGAGAGTGAGAGAGAGCATAAGCAGGAGAGGGATAGAGAGAGAGAGGGAAACACAGAATCCGAAGTAGGCTTTAGGCTCAGAGCCTGATGCAGGACTTGAACTCATGAACTGTGAGATCGTGACCTGAGATGAAGTTGGATACTCAACTGATTGAACCACCTAGGTGCCTCTGTATATGCCATTTACTCTACATAGCATGACCTTCCTGGGACTAACTAATTATGTAACAACCATGGTTAAACTTTAAGAACAATCCACAAGATAACCCAATGAGGCAAGTCCTGCCTATAGGTTATGTACCTGAAGTGAACCTTTAAAACTTTCTTTCCTCACTCCAAAGTCTAGAAAACCTAGCAAGCCCTTTGAAGTTAGGTGCTTGGTCCCAGGTTAAAACTAGAATCCAAAAATTTACAGGTCTTCAGTTCTGCCATGATTTTTTTTAATTATGGAAAAACCTCAGTCAATTTTGTAGAAGGCAGAGTCAGGTGTTCTTTGCTTGAGCCTTAAAGCCCATTTCACAGGGATTTTGTTCTTCGTGGACATCTCCCAAAATAGATATCACTTGGGTTTATGCTTCAGGCAACATTTAATAGGAACTATAGACTTAATTATAGAGGTTATACAAGAGGCCATAATGAATAAAATAAATGAAATTGGCTTGGTATTTAAACCAATAGCTGAGGCTGCAAGCACTCCTTGGCTCTTGTGAGCTAATTGCTCTCATGCTGGTATAGAGGCTCCGGCATTGTTAGAATATATTTTTTGTGAGAAAGTACTAATACTTGGATATTTGTTAATGTAAAAATCTCCCACTTTTCAAAAATTGGCAATGAATGCTCTTAAAAAATGCTCTTAAAAAACCACTGTCTGGGATAATATTGTTCTATGTGGGGCACCTGGGTGGCTCAGTCAGTCTGGCATTTGACTCTTGATTTCGGCTCAGGTCATGATATCAGGGTCTTGGGATTGGGCCCTGCATGGGGCTCCATGCTGAATGTGGAACCTGCTAAAGATTCTCTCTCCCTCCGCCCCTCTCTCTTGCCTGCGTGATATCTCTCTCTTAAAAAAAATACTGTTCTGTGTGAAAAAATTGACCTGCAGTTTTCCACATGTGTGTATCTATGTAGCACCTGCAAGTGCAAAAACAGGGGGCCAGGTGACTAGCCAGTTGTGCAGAGGAGGCCATGTGGTCATGGATCCTGTATTACTTATTACAGCTAACACGCATGAGCACTTACTATGGCCAAGAACTGTTCTAAATGCATTGCTTGTTGTAACTCATTTAATCCTCGTAAAACTCCATGAGGTCGACATTATCATTATGTCATTATTAAATGATCCCCACATTAACTATCATTATCTCCATACTAGTAGCTTCCTCGTGGTTATGCAGCTCGTAAGTGTTGGGAATATGGATTCAAACCCAGGTATGGCTGAAGATCGGGGGCTATTAAACTGTATCCAGTCTAGGGTCTCCTATACACAACATTGCAGTTTGGAAAATAAAAAGTATACATAAGATCTTAACTTTTGCTTTTCTTGTAGTACTTGTTTTACCTTAATTTTTAAAATGTTATTTATTTATTCTGAGAGAGAGAGAGAAAGGGAGAGAGGGAGAAAGAACACAAGTAGGGGATAGGCTTCGCACTGTCAATGCAGAGCCCAACTTGGAACTCCATCTCCGCAATAGTGGACTCATGACCTGAGCTGAAATCAAAAGTCAGACACTTAACCAACTGAGCCACCCAGGTGCCCCTGTTTTACCTTATTCTTAAAAGATACTTTGTGCCTAAGGGATAATTTCACTAGGCTGAAGACAAATGTTCACATTAAAAAAAATCTTACAGAAGTAGCATCAATAAAATAGAATACAAATGAATCTTAACTGGACATACCCCTCCCAACTCAGAAGTAGCTAATTTTTTTTCCCCTCACCAAAGGCAAAAGACATTAAGGATATTAGCACCAACCTGGATTTCTTGGTTCTATAGAACTTTCAGGATCTGCGTCTTCTGGGTGTGCGGGTTGCACAGGAGTTGGTGGACTTTTCTATGAATAAAAACCAGATAAATATTAATGCCACAATTTTCTAAAGTTAAGACCTTGTAAAGAAAATGCCTCAAGTTAAAACTATTTTGGGGGTGGGGTGCCTGGGTGACTCAGTCGGTTAAGTGCCCGACTTTGGCTGAGGTCATGAATTCGAAGTCCATGAGTTCAAACTCTGCGTCAGGCTCTGTGCTGACAGCTCAGAGCCTGGAGCCTGCATCACATTCTGTTTCCCTCTCTCTCTGCCCCTCCCCTGCTCATGCTCTATATCTCACAAAAATAAATAAACATTAAAAAAATTTTTTTTAATATTTTTTGGGGCTAAAGTTGGTTTCCTTTTGATTAAAATGTGCTTTGTAGAGGTTACTTTGGGAAGAATTCATGGTTTCATAGCTATCTACAAACTTTGATTTCAATTTATATTTGTCTTTCTAAATAGTATTTGATGTTTCTATAGGGACATTATTACCTCAAACACTGACTCTCATATTTCCCTACTGTAATAAAAAGCTAAAATGGAATTTTTTTTTAAAAAGAGGTAAGGGAGTCTCTGGGTTGCTCAGTCAGTTGAGGGTCAGACTTTTGATTTTGTCTCAGGTCATGATCCCAGGGTTGTGGGATCTAGCCCCATGTCAGGCTCTGCCCTGAGTGTTGAGCTTGCTGAGATTCTCCCTCTCTCTCTCTCTCAGATAAAAAAAAAAAGAGGTAAAGTCTCTTAGCATATTGGACATGACCCAATTTTTCTATATACATACAGAACATTTTCTCTTAATTTTGCCAACTAAGTATTCTATTGACTTTTTTAGGTTTTAGATCACCACCCGAGAGAGAAGGCAATTCATTTTGCCATTAGGCTCAAACACAAGGAGATAATTTTCTCCCAATATTTATACTGCAGACAAGATGAATCATCTTATATTCAAGTCTTTATAAAATTTCTCATATTATAACAGGTACTCTCAATTACTTTTATTAAGAAGTATTATTTAGAGAAGTTACATTTACATGGAGTATTTATAATCAATCATAGGTTTGGATCATTATAGAGGTCACCTAATAGAAGTTGTTAAAAAAGAAAAAGGGGTGCCTGGGTGACCCAGTCGATTAAGTGTCCAACTTGACTCACGGTCTGTGAGTTCAAGCCCTGCGTCAGGCTCTATACTGACAGCTCAGAGCCTGGATCCTGCTTCAGATTCTGTCTCCCTCTTCTCTCTGACCCTCTCCTGCTCACACTCTGGCTCTCTCACTCTCTCAAAAAAATTAACATTAAAAAAAAAAAAAAAGAAAAAGGCAAAGAAACTTAACGTGAATTTACTATCAATCTTGTTATACTCCTGTCATAGCAATGTTGTAACCCTTCTAAATAAGCTTTTTTTTAAAAGAATATATATAGCGGTTATAGTGTGGAGATCACAATGAGAGATCAAGAGTAGAGGATGAATGGGAACTCAATCATACCATTCTTTTGTGACTAGGTCCTTAATGATCTAGGATTACTGTTCTAATTATAGCATCATAAACACACACACAAATGTGTCTTAAACATCTTAAATATAAAGTTATAGTAAAGGTTATGTGCTTTGCAATGCTGTATTATATGGATGTAAAGTTAACTTTTGTGATGAAAAAATATCACTCATGTTGGAAAACACATAGGTGGGATTTGAACAATTTGTATCAGCAAATATGAGAATGAAAAACAGCAAATGTGTTAAACATATGTAAACATATCATGTGTTTTAAATATTTTGCACACACAAATTAAAGTATATACTATAATTAGAAATTTGACTATTTCATCTGTATGCATCAAACTATATTAAATCAAGAGAGACAAAAATTTTGTAAAATTTTTCTTTGGAAAATGGAGGATAGTTTTGTATTTCAGCTTCCTTTATAGGGCAAAAAAAAAAGTGTCCAGTTGAAAAAGACAGAGTGTTATGGAATTTTGTTTCTCCTTGAGTTGAATTGTACTCAGAGGAAGAGCACGTACAGCAAAATGAAAAACTGAATCTCACCTTTGTAAGTTGCTTAACACAGAAAGCAATTGAGAGGATAGTTCCAACGACACCAACCATGACTGCGTAAACAATCCCTGTTATCTCTATCGGAGAAAAAGAGAACAGAAAATTACAAAAATATGAAATAAACTACCACAGAACAACTGAACGATAAAACAGGTAAAATCGTGGTAATATCACTTTGCCTTTTTATAGAAAATACATTAATATACTTTTAAGTGTATTTTATATTTAAAAAAATTAGGTTTCTACAGTAACCATGTGGGAGACTGGAACTTTGAGTGCTCAAGTCGTTGTCGAAGGTCACACATCTAATGACAACTAAGACTCAAGAGTTCCAACTCACCTCCGTTGTTCTATAGGATCTTACAGGTGTAATTATGGATAAGAGCTTTGTGGACATTCTACCTCGATATGGAAAAAAAACACAAACTCTCACAGTTTCAAAGTTATGAGACAAAACAATGTCTTGATGTACAGAAGATTTTGGACAGATCATGATTATTGAAATCAGAACTTTTGGAGGAAATAAACTATACTATAAACTAATATCATATATGATGTGTATACTGATTAGTATATTTCTAATGTAATTTACAAAATATACTACACTGTAAGTATACTAAAAACATTTTTCAAACCTTTTACATGTCAAGAATGAAATACAGGTTAAGTTTGACGTTCTTGCGTATTCATTCGTATTTGTAGTGCTTTCGAATGGGTTAAATAGAACTGAAGGCAAGACAGAGAAGTAAAATGGCATATTTATTTGGATAATTTATATTGAAAAGGTTTATTATTGATTGAAAAAAAAAAGTAAAAGTAGTTTTCCCTGCCATTGGTATTGTCCAGTCTTCCTGTCCATTTAGCTGTAATTCATGAAATAGTGATTCAGTTCTACATTCCATTTTTCTTTTCTCTTAAAAATTTTTTTTTATTATATTTATTTATTTTGAGAGAGAGACAGAGCGCGAGTTGGGGAGGGGCAGAGAGAGAGGGAGACAGAATCCAAAGCAGGCTCCAGGCTCTGAGTTGACAGTACAGAGCTCACCGTGGGGCTCGAACTCACGAGTGTGAGATCATGACCTAAGGCGAAGTTGTATAGTCAACCGACTAAGCCACCCAGATGCACCTACAATCCATTCTTCTTATGTGAAGTATGCATGCAGTCCAGGTGTGAAGGAGGCTGAGAAATGCAGAATAGTAAAGGAACACATGAATCAACTAAAGCTAGATCCACAGCAGCACCTCAGAAGTGGGGGTGACAGTCCTCCAGTCATAGAGGGTTGGGAGGATAACCCCAAAGTGGTGTCATAGGGCCCCAAATAAATCAAGATTGAGATATAAATGATCTGTATTTATTCTTGATATGGTGCCGGTTAATCAGATGATTTTGAGCTCCTTTCTTTCTTTAAAAGGTAGAAGCAAGGAAGTTCCACTGTTTTATAAGCTCTTACAAGACTTTGTTCAAGTACCCATGGTTGGTTAGAAAGCTAAAATATCTAAATTAAAAGAAAAATTATTATCAAATTTATATATTGCTAGTTCCAACATGTTTAGGAAAATAAGAAATCCGTATTTTAATTTTAAAAAGAGCATATTTTGCTTGCCTTCACAATTTCGTATGATGAAAGTTAGTAGCATATGCTCTTCTGATTTAAAAATCAGTTGCTTCTTGGAGCTCCTGGGTGGCTCAGTTTGTTGAGTGTCTGACTTCAGCTTAGGTCATGATCTCATGGTTCATGAATTTGGGACCCACATTGGGCTTGCTGCTTTCAGCACGAAGCCTGCTTCGGATCCTCTGTCTTCCTCTCTCTCTGCCCCTCCCCTGCTCATGCTCTCTTTCTTAAAAATGAATAAACATTTATTTTAAAAAACGGATGCTTCTTATTTTCTTACGCACTTGGAACTAGCAATGTGCTTAGTTGATCTTAAATCAATAATTTAAGATGAAATTATTGTTATTCTACATCAAATATTAACATACCTCCTGCAGAAAAAATGTGTTCCAGTTGTTCTGATCCTAAAACAAAATTTCAAAATAAAGTCAGAATACATAGAGTGTATCTTTACAATTCATATTGGAATTAGATTGTTGAGTGGGTTTCTTTTTATTAACTGTTTAGCAGCTACTGTTCAATATTTAAAAATTTTTTTAATGTTTATTTACTTTTGAGAGACAGAGAGAGAGATAGAGACAGAGAGAGTGCAAACGTGAGCAGGGCTGGGGCAGAAAGACAGGGAGACACAAAATCCAAAGCAGTCTCCAGGCTCTGAGCTGTCAGCACAGAGCCTGACTCGGGGCTCGAACTGATGAACTGCCAGATCATAACTTGAGCTGAAGTCGGTCACTTAACCAACAATAGTTTTTAATTTTTTTAAATGTGTATTATTTTTGAAAGAGAGACAGAGTGCAAGCAGGGGAGGGGCAGGGGAGACACAGAATCTGAAGCAGGCTTCAGGCTCTGAGCTGTCAGTGCAGAACCTGATGCAGGGCTTGAACTCACAAACTGCAAGATTGTGACCTGAACCAAAGTCAGATGCTTAACCAAGTGAGACACCCAGGTGCCCTGCTACTGTTGAATTTTAAGCAGCTAGTAAAATTATGAAGTAATGTGTCCATTGTAACAGTGTTAATTCCAGTATCCACTTTCAACTACCCAACAAGTATTCATGGGTCAAAAATGAGCAAATCATCTCCTTAAATGAAGGAAAGTGTTATTAAAAAGTACTAGAAGAACCACTTATCGACTTTTATCAAAAGTATTTTTAAAAATATGTAAAACTGGTGGGGAAAAAGGAGACACAGTGAGTCATCACCCCACATGAACTGTAGCTCAACCCCAAGAGAGATCATGTTGCTACCAGCTTTCCAGATTTATACCATGGCTACCATCTGGATCCAAATCCTTATTGTGTCTCACCTGAGCTTTTATCAGCAGTTGCACCAGATTCCCTATCTGCAGAAGTTTCTAGTATTGTTGCCTTAATGCATCACCAGAGTTAACCTGATCCGTCCACATCTCATTTCTTTCTCTGCTGTCTCCAATGCCACTTTACATCATGAAATTGTAAGACTACTACAGCCTTACAATTTTCGTGAATTTATTTATTAGAAAGAACATTATACCTTATTGTATCACGTACTCAGGGGACTTGGTTATATTTGATCATTCCTTAGAAGTTATACTTAAAGGTTAATTGGGGCTTGTCTCCTCTTTTTTCATGGTAGTTGGTAGCTGTGGTTGGTATATGAGCTCTGGAGCAATACAGATGGGGTTTCAGTCAGAAGAATCTCCTTTACTAGCTGTGTGACCTTGGACAAGTTACTTAATTTCTCCCTGCTTTAACAATTTCTTGGGAAAATGGAGATCATAATACCTATCCCTCTGGATTCCTGTAAGATAAAATTAGATAATGCGTAGAAACACTTACAATGCCCCACCATGCTAGCCATTATGTTTAGGATTCAGGGCATATAACACTGGGTGTCTATATTTGACCTTTAAATACTTTCCGGTTTGACACCATCATGTTGGCTTCATATTGAAGTCACTTTGAAAATGAGATTATGAAATCTGGCCGTGTGTAGCAACATGGATGGACCTTGAGGGTGTTATGCTGAGCGAAATAAGTCAGGCTGAGAAGGACAAATATCATATGTTTGCACTTATAGGAGGATTAGGAGGAACTTGATGGAGGAACAAGGGGGAGAAGAAGGGCGGAAATGGTGGGGGAAAGGGAGAGAGGCAAACCATGAGAGACTCTTGAATGCTGACAAAAACTGAGGACTGATGGATGTGGGGGGGAGGAGGGGATGGGCATGGAGGAGGGCACTTTGGGGATGAGCACTGAGTGTTATGTGGAAACTAATTTGACAATAAACTATTTGTAAAAAAAAAAAAAAAAAGAAAATGAGATTGTCTCATTGAATGCAGAAGCTTAATAACTAGTTCCAAGCACTTAGCCTAATTTTCCTCTCCTGGTCTCTGTTCATAACCTCTGCTGCTTGCATTTATCTCAGTGTATTCTCTCAATGGCCGATTGTGCGGCCACTCTGAGTTTTTTCTGAGCCTTAAAAAAAATCTAGAGTATCTTGCTTAATCCCACCTACAAAAGACACTTTCTCTTTCTACATTCAGCCAGCTCTTGTAAAGTTGTCTTCTTTTTCCAGAGTGGTGTCTGGGTGGCTCAGTCAGTTAAATGTCTGACTCTTGATTTTGGCTCAGGCCATGATCTCATGGTTGTGAGATCAAGTCCTGTATCAGGCTCTGGGCTGAGCATGGAGCCTGCAAAAAAGAGAAGGGAAGGGAAGGGAAGAAAGGAAAAGAAAATGAAAAAGAAAAAAAGAGAAAAGAAGAAAAAATAGCCAGAAATAGTGAATGTTGCCTGACTGCCCTTTTCTCAGCACTCAGCTTGGCTTAGAGTTCTCAATTTACTAGGCACTTATGATGTGTCAGGCTCGGGATGAAGCAATTTTGCCTATGTTTTCTTATTTGATCTTTAGAGAAATATTGTAAGACGAATGTTATGGGTCCATAATAAAATTAAGGGGACAGAAACCCCTCAAGGAGATTCACTCAGGGTCAAAAGCTGGGACAGCTGAACACGGCTTGGTTTGACCACAGATCATCCTCACCACTGTCTGGTGAGGTCCCTTTTATCTGTGTGTACCATTTCATGGTCACATCCAGCATGTATGTACTCTGCTAGATTGTTTTAATTTTTTTAGCCCACAGTAGTATTTCTGTGAGATATTCCAGAAGTGAGGATTCCTCTGGAGTAGGGATTGTATCTACTTAGCTTTCTGTTTCTCAGTGTTCATCACAGTTTTGCCACAGTGATAGGTCTAATTAGATAGAGTTGCATCATAACAATGACTCCAAAGTAACTATCTTAAAATATGAACAAACCTTGTTTTTTTGGTTGTCTCTTTGTTGTTGTTGCTGTTTATTTGTTTCTTCCACCCATGAGTAAAATTATATGGTACTTGTTTTTCTCTGGCTAACTTATTTCGCTTAGCATTATACCTCCTAAATCCACCCATGTTGTTGTAAATGGCAAGATTTCACTCTTTTTTATGGCTGAGTAATATTCCATTGTGTATATATACTATATCTTCTTTATCCATTCATCTGTGGTTGGACACTTGGGTTGCTTCCATTTCTTGGCTATTATAATTAATGCTGCAATAAACATAGGGGTACTTATATATTTTCAAATTAGCGTTTTCATTTTCTTTGGGTAAATATTCAGTAGTGGAATTACTGGATCATATGGTATTTTGATTTCTGTTTTTTTGAGGAGACTCCATGCTGTTTTTCACAGTGGCAACACCAGCTTGCATTTCCACCAACAGTGAAATAGGTGAAGGGGATTAAGAGTACATGTCTTGTGATCATTATATTGTACATCTGAAAATAATCATAAATTATGTTAATTACACTTGAAGTTAAAAAAAATTTAGTGAAAAATCTTTTTTCCCATCTGGGAGATGTTGGTGTATGGTAACTAAAAATTCTTGTTTTCTTACCAGGAATGTTGAAAGGCGGGAGCGCTGTGGAATCCCGACCTGTATAAAACAGAAGTTGAGAAGAAGATCAGGAACAAGGTGACTGAGTGGACTCTAGAACATATAAAATAAAAGTTTATTCTATGTCCCTCCCAGTGGCAGCTCCGGAATTTCTACAGCAGGGTTTTACAGCTGAGGAAAGTGTATCTTTACTTCCTCATGTATGAAATGATAAAACCTGCCTCAAAATGTTATTATAAGGACTAAATTACTTTAGTATGTGTGTGTGTTTGTGTATGTGTGTGTGTTTGTATGTGTGTGTACACACACGCTAACAGAGTACTTGGCACATAATGAGTTTTACATACATGTTGGTTATTATTGTTATTATTCTATAAAAGACGGAAAGACTGGAAGCTTTTTTGCACAGTATTTTGCATAACTTTGGGAAATTGTACATGTTAAAGAAAGGGGGACACTCGTGATGTTTACATAGGAAGAAAGTTCTGCCTCATGCATCCCTGTCTCCACCTTGTTGGTACAATTCTACATCCCTGGTAAAAATGAAAACAAAGACATGACTGAATTCAATTTCTTCTCACTTGATAGAGGGTGAGTCGATTCTAAGGTACCCCAACCATACTTCTTTTTTCTCTTTCAAAAGTAGCATTTCTGAGTTGTAATAGAATTGTAGGAAATCCTGGGTCCAGTTTGAGATGGCTGGCTGAGTATGCAGGTAACCAAGTGATATAATCAATTCAAGGCCATGGTTATTCTTTAGAATAAACATAAGCACACAAATATATTCTTATATGTCCCTTTAAAATCTCATGCAATGCATTATAGGCCACTTTTTAGAATGAAAACAATTACACTTTTATTTTTAATTTTATAAATGTAAAATTTGTGAATTATTTTATAAAGTTTTATAAATTAAATAGGATTTTTTATTGTAAAAATAATCTAGGTTCAATGAAGAAAAGTTGGGAAATATGAGGAAAGCAAGAGCAATATAAAAATCATCTATTAACAAGCCACCCAGAGATGGACACTTTAAACATTTTGGTATAGCACCATCTAAACTTTAGCTTTTGCATCTAAATATAGGACCACTGTGTTTAAGGATGTATAAATATGTACATAGTGTTTAAAATATATATACCATAGACATGTGCCCTATGTCACAGATTATTCTTCTATGACAAATTTTCAATGGTTGCATAGAATTCCATTGTATGAATGTACCATTGTTTAGTCATCAATCGCTGACTTTGAGAATTTATGTTATTTTTATGCTTATGAGACTTATAAATCATTCTTAGATAAATATCAGTGAACTAAACGCTGTGGATGTATCTCTGCTTCTTCCTTTGAGACATTCTAGTGAGGGAAATGGGGCCCAACTACAATGAAGAGTGGGTGGAAGAGCACCTCCAGACATTCCCCAGAGAGAAGGTCACTTTGGCGCCTCACCTAAGTGTTCAAGGTTTCATGAAGAATCTACAAAGAAT